ATGGATGGATGGATGGATGGATGGATGCATGGATGGATGGATGGATGGATGGATGGATGGATGGATGGATGGATGGATGGATGGATACATGGATGGATGGGTGCATGGATGGATGGATGGATGGATGGATGGATGCATGGATGGATGGATGGATGGATGGATGCATGGATGGATGGATGCATGCATGGATGGTGCATGGATGCATGGATGCATGGATGGATGGATGGATGGATGCATGGATGGATGGATGGATGCATGGATGGATGGATGGATGGATGGATGCATGGATGAACTGTCATGATCCTGGCTTTTCCAGCATTTTCTGCTATGGACTTACTTTCCTGTTTGATATTTTCCGTTCGACTTTGTTGGAGTTTTCAGTTTGGATATTATCTCTGCCTAGGTTATGTTTTCATCCTGATCTTGTTAGTTGTTAAGTTTTGAGTTTTGGAGGCACCGTCCAAAGACACGGGGGAAAATATGGCATGAAGTGACACAATGTGTGTGCCTCTGTCTTAAGTGGATTAAAAAAATGCTAAAGTTGTTTCACATCGCTCAGAGGAACACATGTTTATAGATGCATTCCTACTGAACTCTAACAATGATTCTAGGACAGAACAGCAGCTAAAATAACTCAAATGTTAACCCTTTAACGCATATTGTATCATATCTGATTTGAGTTTTTGAGACTTCTACATCATCAGTATTTTGGGTTTTTTGGGGGGTTTCTTCCTGAAAAACTTCCATAAATTGCACAATACATTTTAAGCAATTTTTTAAAAAAATGGTACATGTAGCAAATACTATGCAAATAAAAATCGTATGTAGAAATTAACATTATTTTTAAACACATTTGACTCAAACTCTCCATTTTGTTTCTTAATTAGAATTTTTTGGTAATTATTTCATATTTCAGGCTTTAAGGGGTCAATGATATGATATGAAGTATTTAAAGACTATCACATGAGATCATAAGAACAAACCTCAGCTTCCATCTATCCTTAGTTAGCAACAGAGCTGGAAAAGTTGCTTTCAAATATGATTTATTTGGCCTTTACAAGGCAAATGCAAATATGGTAACCTGCACAGTTTGCTCTTCGTGTAGGTTTCAGCTCACCTGCACTGACCAGTATTGCGGTCACACTGAGCCCCTGCATTTGCAGCGATGCCGCTTGGGGAGCATTCACAATTCTCACAGCCCAGCAAAGGGTGGAAGCTGAAAGTCTGATTCTGACACACATCGCAGGCCGGTCTGACTGTCTGAGGAGGGCAGATGCAACGTCCTGTCACTTCGTCGCATAGTCGGCGGCCACAATCACACGCTGCGCAGAGAGGAGCGTAATGAGGACAAAATTAGATGCAAATTGTATTTTGAGAGTAAGTAACAAGGAGTGAATGATGACTTAAAAAGAAAAGAACTACAAATCAAAGGTAAATGTTGACTCACATCTGCAGTAGGGAAATCCGAAGTATCCAGTGGCACACTTTGTGCACTGCCGCCCAATCACATGCGGCCTGCAGGGACACTGTCCTCCAACTGCATCACAGACGCTTCCTGTAGAGCCAGATGTGTCACAGTCGCACGGCAGAGCACCATCGTTATATGCTGCTACAAGAGAGCGGGCCGAGTCTCTGCAGAACTGGGAAGATGTTCTTGGGCTAAAGTGACACACACAAAGATTACTTTTAAATACAAATGTGGTTTTATACTCAAACATGACTGCTAGAGGGCACCATTTCCAAAAACATTGGTGTTTTGAAGGCTGTTACCTCAGCATGGGTAATGAAATATCCCATATATTAATATCAATATATTAAAACCATCAGCTATATATCGTCACAAAAAAAAACATGTCAAATTGTTGAATGCTTATGTCATTATTTGTTGGATACCTACTCAATATAGAACCCTTCTTCTCGGCACTGCTGTATGAAATCTTCAGATTTATCCAGAGGTTTCTCTCTGAGGAGCTCTGGGGTGTAAACGCTATCAGGTACCAACATGACATAATCCTAAATAAAAGATAGAAACCATATCAAAAACAATCTCATATACCCTACATCTTTGTTTAAGTAATACAGAGTGATAAAGGATTTAAAGTTATTTCGGCTTTTTTATTATTTGCTTCAGCTTAATGGAGAAGGAAAATGAAAGCACACTGAACAGTACACAATCATAGCCCAACCTGCCCCCTGCCTTATACAGCCGGGAAGCTTAGCCTTTATAAACCCACAAGCCACTGCCAGGTAGAATACAGTCGTTTCATTGTTGTTGTTGGGGATATGGCATAACACTG